AGACTTTTCAAAACATCGTGCTACAAAAGACAATTGGGGAGACTAAAAAAGTGTCAGATGTACTGGATTAAAAAATTTCTAGACTTGCAAAAAAACATTTAAAAATTTCTTAAAAAAATGCTTCAATTTAAAAATGTCAATCCAGACTTTTCAAAACATCGTCCTACAAAAGACAGTTGGGGGGACTAAGAAAGTGTCAGATGTACTGGATTAAAAAATTTCTAGACTTGCAAAAAAACATTTAAAAATTTCTTAAAAAAATGCTTAAATTAGAAAAATGTCAAATGTACTGGATTAAAAAAATTCCAGACTTTTAAAAAAACATTTAAAAATTTCTTAAAAAAATGCTTAAATTAAAAAAATGTCAATCCAGACTTTTGAAAACATCGTGCTACAAAAGACAATTGGGGAGACTAAAAAAGTGTCAGATGTACCGGATTAAAAAATTTCTAGACTTGCAAAAAACATTTAAAATGGTGATAAAGGACATTCAACTGAGTTAAAAGTTCTCATGACTAAAATTGTTTCAACCGTTTTTTACAAGATATAGCTTTTCAAAAGTTAGATTTTGGGTTAAGTTTTCAGTCATTCAGATCATGTTTTTTTGAGTTTAGTTAGCGGAAACGACAGATCTTTCAGCATTAGGAGATACCTGTTATAAAAAATCACCAATTTGTGTCTTATTGTGTACAAAAAATTTAACAAACTAGCAAATTTAACAATAAATTAAATCAGACAACATTGAAAAGCAAGATAAAATGGAAATTGAAAGTTTTATTTTTTCTCAAGAAAAACCTTAAAAGATCTAAATTATTTCTATGCTAAGCTAAAAGTCTTTTATTCAAGAGTTGGTCTACACAACTAACTAATCCTTACATTAAATTATTCCAAAAATTCGACGCAAAATTAAGCAAAATTACTCAACAGAATGAATATTAACAAGAGTTTGTCATAATAATTAATAATCGGTGATTTTTTAAATAAAAATCCGTTTTTCCATATAGCTTTTTTTTATTAATTATGTTTACATTTTGCTAATTTTATTATTGAATTATGCCAACATTTTTAGGTATTTAGGCAACAGCGGACACCGGTGTTTTATTGGTAGTATACACAATAATAATGTTTTGCTTTTTGACTAATCAAAAGCAATATAGGTACAGTTTTTTACGTAGATTTTAAACTAATTTATCACTTGCACTTTAAAAATATAATTGAATAACAATAAGAGGAACATTTCTCAAATGGAGAGGTACCGAATTTATTTAGATAATATCGTTTTAAATTCTAAATCCTTGAGTAATGATTTTAAAATATAAAATGTATAAATTTTTATGCAAAAGTTAAAAAAAAGTCGAACGTAAATTAATTCGTTTATTAGAGTGGCGCAAGGTTTTCTAGACTTTTAGCAATTTCGCAAGCTATTACCGTATTTTCCGAGTGCCATTTTTAAGAGCAATACTCCTCAATGACCGTTCAGGGAGTGCCATCAACGACCTCCACCGGTGAAAAACGTAACGTCCTAATTTCAGATCTAAAGTTTCTTGAAAAAGTATCGATTGAAAGTAATAACACTTCAGTCGATGTCATAAAACAAAATGTAATTACCTAGAACTAAGATTTGGCTTCGTTACAAACATTATAAATAATTTTCTTGTATTGCGCGAAAGAAACTTTGATTATTAGCTTAGTGTGTATCTCCATGTAATGATTATGAACTGTAATGCAGTGTAGGAGTGTTTCAAAGTAAAAGCTTGCGGGCTTCGAAGTTGCTTCACAAAATGACAGCTGAACACGCTATTAGGCCACTAAATAAACTATCAGAGGAATTGCTCTACATTTTATTATTTAAATAAGTGATACTGTTTTGTCTATTTACCTACTTATAAACTTTTGTCATTCATTCAGCTTCGATAGCCACTTAATTTGGGACTCCATTATAATGGTGACAGTAATTTTTGTTACCTAGGTAGATATAAATAAAAATAAAAATTACAAAAAGTAAATAAACCAATAGGTAATCATCCAATAACTGTCACCTTGTTTGACAAAAATAATTTAAGCTTTCAATTTGTATTCGTGTGATTTAAAAACGTTTAGCTTCTATCATGGTAAGTTAGTAAAATAAACGAAACAATAATAATTTTCTGTGTAGAATTGTTGGGCGAACAGAAATCCTTTCCAAATGGCCCTAATTCTTGTATTGATGGTGGCTGTACCTTATTTTATTGCAATAGTAGTAACATACGTTACATTTGGATATGTCTTCACTGAATCAGAACGTTGTGAAGCTCTTTGCTGTGAGTTAAATACTCAAAGAAAAATAGAAGCCGAGAAAAAAGATGAAAAGGAACAACATGGTTTTTATGTTCACAGTACGGACATGAAGCCAGAAGTAGATATGCCATCACAAAAAACAGGAAAGCAACTAAACAATCCACCAGAACCCCCACTTCAAGCCCCACCTAAAGAGCCAAGTCAAGCCCCACCTCAGTCCCCATCTCAAGCTCCACCTGAAGCCCCACCTAAAGCTCCACTTAAAGGTCCACCTAAAGCGCAAGGAACTAAGCCAAACCATGGATTGGAATTAGACAGATAACATAGAAAAACCTTAGATAACAAATAATAATATTTAATGGAAATTACTAAGTCAAAATTTTTGTGCATCTTATACACACTTCCACAAAACTTCCAATTTCATTTAAGTTCTTTTTCCAACATTTTATAATAATAAACATTAATTAAGTAATAAACATTTTTTTTTAATTATCAACTTTTAGGCATGATACAAGTTCATATATAAGTATTTATTTACTTTATAATTAAATATTGATTGTTGCTTATTGTCGTAAGCTGATGTCAAAGATATGAGGATAATTATAAGTGAAATAGTAATCTTATCAAAAATATAAGTGTGTTTATCTACCTAAAAATAAGAGGTCGTAGTTTACGACCTTCTAAATACAACTTATAATTTTTAGTAGCGTATTATGACAAAGATCCATATGCAATTAAGTCTATTCTGAGTTTAGTTTTGTATGGCGACTGCGTTAAAAACAAAAGTTTCAAAAAGTTTTAGTTTAAAAAAAATTGACGAAACTACATGTTACAAAAACTTTCATATAATTATTACAATTTTTTGAAAAAATAAGTAGTTTTGATATCATTAAAACAACAATTTGTCCTAGAGCCGATTTATTAAAAGCGAATTGAAATTTATTTTGCAAATTAAAACAATTATAAAAAAATATATTTCGGAAATATTCTAACAGGTATCAATAATATAGAAATAAATAGTCAAATTTCTGTAGTATCTAGCACTTCTATTTGTTAATAGTCTGCTTTAAAAGTTGCTTAATGTCAAAATTAAAATGGAATATTACTAGACAGATGACTGTAAATTGTCTCTACCAGTAAATAAAAAAAATATTGATAAAAAATCAATTATCGATATAATTAAATTTATTTTTAATTTTTTTGAATAAAACTAAAAGTGTAATTCGTTATTCACTTTTTTTATTTGCTACAGTGAAATCCGTAATTTTATTGTATATTGGTCGTCACGTACTTAAGTTGGTTGGAAAATTTTGTTATCGCAACGATAAAAATCATTGGTTAAGGGTCACACTATCTCATAATAATGTCAAGACAAGACCGTATAAGTTATTTATCGATCATTTGATAAGAATTCAGAAATAAAAAAAATTCAACCCAGATTTTAAAAAAATTATAAGTATTTTAACACAGATTAGTTTGAAGGCATATAGAACTTAACAATAATTCACACTATACAAAGGTAATAATAAATTATAATTAGTGTTCACCTATTTGAAAAATTTATTTTGGTTTATTTGGGATTAGTGTAGGTTTTGCCTGTAGGTATTTTGACTATTTAAAAATAAGATTTGGTAAGAATCTTATCAAAAAAGTGTGTATAAAAAATATATATCAATGTATCAATGTCACATTTTAGATATGACTAAGACTGAAGGTATATACTGCTGTACTGTGGTACAAATTACTTAGTAAAAATAGACAAAAGATGAAATTTACATGAAATCCTCGTATGTTAAAAAAAAATATAAAATTTAGCCTTTTATTTCTAAAAACAAGAAAATGTTCACTCTTTTAAGTTTTTTTTACATTGAGAAAAAATTACATATTTAT